CGGGGAACTCTGCAAAAAACGCATCTTCGCACGGGCAGCCCGTGCGTTGGCCAATTTTTTTTAAGAAGGAGAGGAGCAAAGATGGAGGGCAAATTAAGTGTACGTGATTTATTTGGCGATAATTTGAATAGATACAAGGGTCACGCTTGACAAAAACGGGATGATCAAAGCACCCTGAATCTCTTCGACAGTAACTTTCAAAAGCTAAATATTAATGACTTTCAAATAAAAAATCTTTTCTTCAGACTTTTTCGGTTATTCTAAAATGATAGCACTGAAAATATAATAAACGATATCATTTCTAAATAGAAGGTGCAGAAACTGCAAAGTTTTAATGACCATGTATGGATAACTTTGCCCATTTTGACATACACCGTTGAGCCAGTATCAACATTCTTTGGAGAAACACCTCTTTATTTCAGTGACGAACAGACTGCAACAAAAGTTGAAATAATCAAAATCCACTCGGAATACGAATCAGGGGACACTAAGGGCCCAGCGGAACAGCAGTCTGCAAAAACAACGTCAACTGCAGAAACGGAAGGAAACGACGAAAGAACTGAATGGAAAAACGACAAAGGCGTTTCAAGGTGTGTGCACATTTTTACATGTGTACATTTGTTTGTGCTTATGTATCTGTTTATTCAAACTGCGTCTGACTGTTGAACTACCAAATTCAGTAGTTCGTATTTACTAAGTTGCCTGAGCGCTATCGAGACTCAGTTCTCTCTCCAAAAGCGGCGGCGGTTACAACTGTTTAACAATGCTGCACAAACGATTCATCCAGGCAGTAACTAATTATATCTTAAAGTTTTACTGCTGTAGCCCTCCTTGTGCATGACAGTCGTTCGTTCTTAGTATAAAAATATTTTGCTATAGCTAGTTGGAAACAAAGGGATGCCGCTTTGCTGCTCGAAGTGGGGGATTAACTCAGTTTTTATCTTAAATAAATGGCGATGCACACCAGGAGGTCAATGTACTTATGCCTTTTCTTTTTGCGAATTTGTGAGTTTACAGGGAATGGAAGCGAGAAAATGTTTGGAGTCAAAGAAATTTTATGTCTTTTTCTTTAGTGTCGGCCTGCTTTGGCAGCGTGAATTAAATCCTTGGCATATCACTTTAAATCGATATTTTCAAACACTGCTTAATGAATCCTAGCAACTTCTTCCAGTTCTGCATCAACAACGACAAGCAGCACAAAAGCCGGAAATGTGACTTCGCAGCATCTAGAAAACGTACCCAACGGGAGAAGCAGTGAGACCGAACAAGAACCGCAGCGCGTCGTGGGCGAGGCAACATCAGAACACGAACAAAAAGCATTGCAGCACCAAGCAGAGCATGCTGCTCGAACAATTCAGAGAAGCTGGAGGGAATTCAAAACCAGGGGACAATCTGACCAAGAAGAAGCAAGTAGCGCTACCGCACCGGATAACGAAGATCAGCCAAGCGATACTGGAGCGGCTGACGCTCATCTAAAACATAATCTTGTCACGGTCAATCCGGAAGTGAATTCAGGCAGTCGTTCTGAAGGGAAGAATGGAAAAGGTAGAGAAACTCCTGAAGAAGCTACGAACGATTCAGAAACACGGCATTCTGTAAAAACTAATAGATCGGAAAATGGTGAAAATCGTCTTGAAGAAACCGGAGAGATGGATCGGCTGGGAGAGAAGATAAGCGCACAGGACAGTGAAAGCGTCGAATCGTTCAGTCTGATGGAAGGATACGCTGGACGGCATCGGATTAACAGAAAAAAGTCAGACTCTTTGAAGAAATCATCTCAAGTAAGCATTTTTATGCGTTTTTGCTATACAGCGCTATAGCGCTGCAACAGCGAGCAAAAACGCACATTGTCGAGAGGTCGTCCGTGTGTGTGTGTGTGTTCGGAAGCGAGTGAACTTTATCACCCACTTCCAACTCGGCAACAGTTGGGAGGCTGAAATTTTGGGGACATATCCCTACTTCGTGTGTCATCTCGTTTCAATATCTTTACTCGTACGCGCCCAGACCTCGCGTACGGAGGCCCGAAAAAAATATGCAAACTTCTTTGGCAGGAAGCGATTTCGCGAACCAGACACGATAAAAAGCTGAAACTTTGCAGTGATATTTTCTGTACATGTGCGAGCTAAAGATTTCAAATTCAGCTATCGCGCACCCTTGTACCGCGCGTACGGTTACGCCAAAATTTGCACTTGACGCTGTGTTAACCCGAAAACTAGCTGAAAAAGAGTAGATGAAACTTTATCAGAGTATTTATCATCCATATGGCAAATCGTACACACAAACCGAATTTCAATTTATGCTTGCGTCACGACTTAGGGCACTTCAAAGATATTCGTAGCGAAGTGGCTATTTCGATTACCAGGCAAGCTGCGAAGCTGAAACTTTGCAAGGACATTATATATTCACGTGCGGACTTAATTCAGTTTGGAGAAAAAATTCCCTGCACGCAGACGTGATAAATACTCAATTTTATCGCAAACTCAAAAGCGAGTGCGTTTTGCAGATTTCATAATCCTCTTCGGACTTCCTTCAAACTTGCATATTTTCAGTGAACGACCATTCAGCAGAACCCAGGCTGGAACGCACCAGGTGAGCCGGTGCGATCGTGCGTTTTTGCATTATTTCGTGCTGTAGCAAGGTCGCAAGGAATCACAGTAGCTCGAATTTGTGAAATACTTGCCCTTGAAGTTCAAGAAGTTAACTATGCAGCTACGTGGCATGTTAGTTGTAGGTGCCGGCTTCAGTAGTCCGAGAAATGGAAGGTTGCTGATGCGCGAAGAAGACCCCGCTAGAAAAGTTGAATTTGAAGTCTTTTAGGCACACATGAGTAAGGAACATTCCCTTAGAATTCCAGCCTCTCAGCTTTTCTCATACCCGATTTAGTAATTTTCCTGTCAAAACTTTCACGTGCCCATACTTGAAACACGGACTTTTCTAAGGAACTGAGTTTGAAGGCTTTTGGTTGTATGCGGATAGGAAACAGTACTCTAGATTTTCAGCTTTTTAGCTTTTCTCATTCCCGAGTTATCAGTTTTT